AGTGGAATAATGCCGACAATATTCGAATATTTTCCCGAACGATCGGGACTATTAATCCGATCATATGCGACAGATATTCCGCTGAAAAAAAAGAATTTAAAACGTAAAACGATGGCATTAATACTAATTGACAAAAAAAAAAACATCTAAAATTATTTCATATAATATTATATTGTTTAGAGACTTGGGATAACACCGTTTTGGATTATGCCTGACAATTAGTTACTTTGCATAGGAACGGCTCAAAGTGAACGAAAGATAGAAATTAAGGTAAAAATGTAATCCAAAATTTATTTAAATATAATATATATAAATACAACAAATTGGTGAAATGTGTAAATAAAATTGTCAAGTAGCAATACATATACGAACTTATGTATATCTAAAGACTGAATTCAGATATCAGTTGGTATGATAAAATTCAACTGAAACCCTGGGTATTTATTTTTACATCCGTATTGTATTAATATCCGCCTCACATCCTAATCCAATCAAACATACTTGGCTTCATTAGAATTTTTCTTAGTAAACTAATGAAAATTCAATAGATATCCTACCTATTTCTTAAGCACATAAATTTTAGATTTAAAGCAAATTAGGATTATAATTGGCAGATGAAGAACAAGTGCTCGATACTTGGGATTGATACCAAGCACTTTGGTAATCATAACCATCGATAGTGTGTGAGAACTCATTTTGTTGAAACAGTGTCAGATCACAACATTGGGGTGGCACTGGGTCGTAATATGATAAAATATTATTTTGCGCGGTATTTAAGCTTAACCTTTGGTCGTAGGCGTATGATGATGATGATGATGATGATGATGATGATGATGAAACATTTGGGTGATTTGCGGACATTACAAAAGCATTTGGAGCATAAAGTTGAGGTGACAATGTGCTCGAGACAGGTAGAGTAGGAGTAGATGCTATTGTTGCAGAATCAGTTATTAAGAAAAGGCATTGAACTAAATCATTCAAGTACGTCCGTACGTAACTTTGTGACAATATCAGGAACGGAACTCAGCAAAATGATACCCAGTCAAAACACAATACACATGTTTGTGGTATAATTGTACAGAATATGAAAATAATGGGTATATAATAATCATGTAAACGAATTCACAAGATGAAGTGACCCGTTATTTGCAATCCATTGATAATCGCATTTATCACACAATATGTCTTACTTTCATATGGATGCCGAACGATTTTTTTGGGTGCTTACATAGTAATAACCTTCTTATTAGCAAGTATGGCTGATTTATCACCCACAACTGTCCAACAAAAAATACATACGAACGTACTTGATTTACTAAATGAACTTTTTAATTACCCAAAAATACACCAGAAATATTAAGAGTGTTTGAGAAGGTTAGGTATGATCTTGCCATTTCATCCAGAAAAGCTGTTGTAGCATTAGTATCAAAATTTGAAGGCAATTGAATGAAAGAGATTCATGATAATTCTTACTAGACGTAATCTCAATTCTATGATAGCACTTGGACTTTTGAACCTGAAGGTAAAGTTTTTGATCGTCCAAATCTGTAACAATATTATACTTTTCAGGTGGACCTTGTTTAAAATAAATAAATAATCGCAGATATGTAAAAGGCAAATACTTATTTTATATAGATTGAACATTCAAAAACTAAATGCATTGTATATTTCATACTTTTTGTAGTCATTTTACAATTCTCACACGGGTCAAACAGACCTTTTTCATTAAAATTTTTTTGACATCCTTCACATAGGAACCAACATTCTTTCTTATTTACACATCTTTCACATAAGAACTCTCCAGGCATTCCATTATAATTACATCCCTTTTTATCTTTCAGACAAGAAAAGCATTTTTCCTTTTTATCTTTCAAATAAGGAAAATATCTTTCTTTATTTCTTGGATTTAAGAAGTCCGACATTATTCCTAAGATACTCTTAATGAAAAAATAAAAATATTGAATAATTTAATAGTATTAAAAGTAGAAAAAATAAAAATATTGAATAATTTAATAATATTAAAACAGAAAAAATTTCACAAGTACATATAGATTAATAGAGAAAAATCTCTCTTAAACGTTTATCATCCTATTATTGTAAAAAAAAAACCTTCATTTATATGAATTGATTTTTCTTTAATCTGACTAGCTTGTGTAATTATCCGACTAAAACCTTATTATTCCCGATCGAGTTTGTCGAGTGTTTACACTGTGTTCACAATATAATGATATCGATATATATAGAGTGTTCACACTATAATAATATATATAGAAACATTATGACGATTCCTGTTCCGATAAAGTACAAGCCGACTATTATTGTCGCAAGGGACACAAGTCATACATCTTGCGACAATGTTTTTCGCAGGAAAAAACTTTGTCTTTATTTAGAACGATTGGCATAATAAAAAAAGCTATTTAAATTGATATATATTATTTAAATTCAATAACAACATGAAATCTCCAAAAAGTTATGCAAAAATAGCTTGTATTAGTTGTGCAAAGTCGAAAAGAAGATGCGAAGCTGTCCTTTCATATCAATCATGTAAAAGGTGTGTAAAAGAACATCTGCAATGTATCTACCCTGATTCTATAAAGAAACGTGGGCCAAAACTGAAGCAAAATTCACTTGAGAGTATTACACAATTGCGGGATGAAGGAGATTTTAATTCGCAGGTTAATGGTTATCAAGATTTCTAATTTAATACTTAGTCTTTACAAAATATAATTTAAATAAAATTAATACTTAGGTATCAGAATTAAATAAGGAATCCATTACCGAAAATTATATGGTGTGTGATGTTCAATTGTTAGAAAAAATCAAGCCAGATTTATCGGACAGATGTGCAAATTGCTATGAGCAAAAAAAAGGATGCAAACATAGTGGAATACCGGGAAAATTTAGATGCGAAAGATGCCGAAAGAGGAAAACTGCATGTTTAATTCAATGTATTGAATGTTATAAAAAAAATAGTGAAAAAAAAGAAAAAGTCCCCCGATGTAATAATTGTAAAGTAATTATGGAAGGTAAAAATTATTTTTAATCAGTTCTGTGCATATACATCTATTTAATTTTTGTACGTCATTTAATCAGATCCGCCTCTTGACTACAACTTTATTCGAGAGGATGACAAAATATATCTGAAATTTAGTGATAATGCTAAAATAGAAATTACTCAAGGTAATATTTATATATTCGATTCAAATTTTAGGCCAAGTTTTATATTTCAAATTTGCTAAAAAATATATATAATTATTAAAAATAATAGAAAAATTTAAAGATCTTTTAAAACTGCAAATAACTGGATCTAATTTTTCATTGAATTCGTCATTCCTCGATGACGTTAATTACCAATCATCATTCGTAGACGGTTCCAGTTACAGTTATCCTCCATCCTTTAGTAATGTGCTCAATGAGCCACGTTTTTATTCGAACCCTAATTACTATGCCTTTAATAATACATCTCAACCTTTTGACATCTTACCACCATTTAGTGAGTCATTATCTGCTGAATCCGATTACAACGAATGTATCGGCTTGTTCAACCCTGAACTGTGAAAAAAAATTGTTTTTTTTTTATCCATTTTTGTGCTAAACACCTTAGAACTTATAAAAGCTTCAATATTGATATCATACATCTATATTTTATAATTAAATGAACAGTTGAAGTGTTTAATATTTTATGTATAATAAGCAGTATAAATAAAAATTTATTCTTTGGCTTTAAATAAAATTAGTTTTATTACAAAGATATTATATTATCCTCAATTCGAAATATTTAGTTTTTGCTAATGATTCAGCAGATTTGCGCAGGAGATTAAATAAGGTAGGTATATGTGGTATTATTTGGCAGCTAAAAACTGCACAATTCTTTACCTACGAGTGCACAAAACTGCGGAATTAATTATTTTGAATAACTGCAGAAATAATCGTTTATTTGTAGAGAAATTGTAAAAATAATCAATTGCGGAAATAATCCATAAAAAATATTAAAATAATAATTCTTGCAGAATTAAAAAGATTTTATTAGTACATTTGAGTACATTTTAATATTATTACAATTTAACAAAGTTTAACACATTAAAAGCGTATTTTTTAAAGATTCATTCAAATAATTTCGCGTCTTCATTAATGTCATCCTCAGAAAGTTCCTCAATGTCATTATCATCATTACTTCTGTCTATAGAGTCGTCTTGAATATTCATAATATCATTTTTACTTGGAATTTGTTTTGCATTTAGTTTTGCCTGTAAAAAAGTAATATTTCGATAATAAACCTATAAATATATACATAAACGAATGAATACTTACTAGGAAAATAGTGAAACGTTTTTTATGGCCTCTTCGGTACATCAGATATCTTTACCATGCGGATTTAAAACAAAGCAGCAACTTGCAAGTGCAAAGGCAATTATTGGTAGTTTATCCACTTTCCATAACCTATCATACTCAGACTTGTTGATTTTTTTCTATTCTACGATTTTTGTACCCAAATTTGTTTTTATTTCTGGGATTTCAAGGAAAGATTTAAAGAGCGTCAGTCTGTATATCTTTAGAGAAGAAACTATGATAGTGTCGCATTTTTTCAAGACACTACAAAAATCAGATTGAAGAAATAAATAAGAAACAAATTATTCCAAGTATCATAATATTTACAATAGGTAAAAACTCTGAATAAAATCGAGAATCCCATCTACGTTCTCCAATATCTCTTATATATACCCTTTGGGCGACTTTTCGATATAAATTTCAAGGTGTTCCTTGAATAATTCTGCAGTAAGATATAACGATATATAATAATTTGAATATCTTTCGAAATAGTCACGATACCTTTCTAATAATATAAATAATAATAAAACACTTAAATTACTTAGCTTAAAACTATCTCAAAAAATGCAGGTGACAAACTATCTTCTCGTTGTAGCTTCAAAATAACCTTCATCATTTCGTCAAGCTTTTTCTTGTATTTGAGTTAGTTTTTCCAAACCACTTTGTTTTGAGCATTTATTTTTTCTAAAAATTTCGAAGGAATCAAATAATATTCTTCACTACTTCCTGATTTATTAATGCTATAAAATAATTAGATAAAATTTATATACCATATTAAGCTTGATAAATCTTAAATTAATACTATACTAACAACAAATTTCTTAGGTATTTTCATCTGCTCAGTATTAACTATATTTTGCTGTTTGTATTTCTTTAACATATCTGAAGCAGAAATGTTGCATTTGTTATTATCATCATCTGAGGAATAACTATTATCTCCTATACTATCATAATTTCTTTCTCTTTTTCCATGATCATTATCATAGTTTCTTTCACTACGAATGTTACCATAGTCCCTTTCACCACAATTATTACTATAGTCTCTTTCACAGTGATTATTACTATACTCACTTTCTTCACGATCGTTACCATAATTTTTTTCTCTATAACTATTACTATTATCTCTTTTTCTATAATCATTACTATAATCTCTTTCTACATAATCGTTACTATAATCTCTTTCTACATAATCGTTACTATAATCTCTTTCTTTGCAATTGTTACTATAATCTCTTTCTCTATGATCATTATCATTAAAGTTGCCGGCTGTAAGTAATTGCGAACATTACGAATTACAACCTGGGTTGCAATTAAGACCCAGTGGTATAACTATATTGATTATCGCTTTTCAAATGATATATTGTACCCGGTTTCTCTTACAGTACCCTTGGGTACTATTCAATTAAAAAATGAAGTTCTTAAATAAAACCCCGAGTACTGTATGCAGTAACCAACAATAATTATATAACATTAAATAAATACACAATACTGCAGTTTACAAAGCATAAAGACCATTATTGCATGTACAAGTATATGAGTGTCACCAAGGGAAAACCTCGAACCAGGAATTTAAGTTTATTATTTATCGGACTTAGCCTCTAATGAATTGTTAGTAGTTAAGTCCAATAAATAATAAACTTAAATTCCCAGTTCGAGGTTTTTTCTTAGCGGCACTCATATATAATATTTATGTAGGTGTAACAATGGGTTTTAAATATATATTAATAAGCAGTAGGTATAAGATCATTCACCATGATTTCCTGATTGTAAACATTTTCGCACAGCAAGATTCTTTTGAGAGAAAATAAGCTTACCAGACAATTAGCCAGTCATATGTACATGCTACGTATAGAGGTAGTTACATTTATGCAAAGATCACGTTTATAAAATAAGGAACAATTGACCTATAATATGCACTAAGTAACTGAGTCACCCAGTTAGAAATAGGTTAACCTGGTTAACAAACCTTATACAGGTTGCCTGAGTAACTTTTACACATGTACAAGTTCTACATATGCCTTAATAATAAATTTATATTACATTATATATTTAATTTATTATATTTTAAATCATCCTTTAGTTTTCACTTCTTACTTTAAAAAAATATTCTCTTTCTAACAATTAACATAAAACAAAAATTTTAAATTCTGGATTTATTTCATTTTTTCTTATATTTCATATTTCAAATCAGGTATTGCTACTTGGTGAATTATTTGTTAGTAATACCGCAACCTTCGTCTTTGCCATGATAAAATGGTATGAATATTGTGAACCAAATCAGGGAGATCATGAATCAGCAGAGATTTATGGTTGTCCTAGATTAATGATATCGCAAGATTTATAGTATTGTACCATTAGAATCTATATCTCACGCTGTTCAAATCATCCCAAGATTTCATAAAGAAAATTAATTTTTAATGAACAGATATCTTTTCTAAATATGAATAATTATATTTTACTGTGAAGTGTTTTTTTTTTTTAGTTGGCTATAGGTCTCAAACTTACTCTATTATTATGCTAGTAATTGCATAGTACGAAATTAGGTTTATTTAAATTTGTATTTGGTGCGTACAAAATTTAAAATTATTTTTTAAATAGTACATGTATATTGAAACGAGGGAGTTTGGTCACCGGGACCAAACAGATCTAATCTTTGATCAGCAACCTGGACGACCATCTCGAAAGAGGCAGTTAAATTTGGCAGGTGGATGTTCTAAAGCTTAGGTCACCTTTCCTACTACTAAAGGACACATCAATTATCACTTCGGGGGG